GCTAACCAACCGGCTAAGACTTTTTCGAAATAGTGTCCAGTAAATAAGTTAAAGGAGGTTTTTAAACACGCACCCTACTGGGGTCCGCCAAAAAAGCCGTAACTCATCTGTTTTGAAACTCGGCTACAACGTGACAGCAGTTGGGTTCTCAACCTGCCAGCTTACCCCTAGCCATCGAAAGATGAATTCAGTATCATTAAAATTCCAGCTAGTTGGCATAACGCAGTGAAAAGTGGCACTGTTATCGTGCCGAATGTCTGAAGTTCAATTCTGTAATTTGATACAATCAATCCTTCTACGATTTGTCCATTCGTTTTGATGGTAAATTATTACTGTGAAATATGCCAAGGAGACAAATCCGCCATCAGCTTGCTACTAAGCAGTCCTAAAAAAAAAGCTATGGATAGTTTAGTCAAGGGATGGTTGCTGTTAGCATTTGCTATTACTCGGGCTATTCGTCGAATATCTCTGTCTTTCGTAGAAAGTGAATACTAAAATTTATTTAATTTCTGTGGTATATAAATTTTAGATTTTCAGGCAGCGTTGCATCCGAAAAATGGCAGTCACTATCAGATTTTATTAATCATTACCGATGGTTGCATCTGTGATTTTGACCAAACTATTAGTGCTATTATCGCTGTAAGTTCATAAGGACTAAAATACAGGCAGTTACGTCCAAGAAAAAAAACTTTTTTCATATAACGGCTTCATGCTTGCCTTTTTGATCCACAAAAATTTTACACGCGATTTACAGACAGATAAAGTACTTCGGGCAAGCAATGGATAGTGAAAAAAGGACAAAGTTTTTGAAAACGATAAAACAACTTTTATACATCGCATCACTTACTTCACCCAGCACGTTACTGCACTAGGCTTAGATAACTTATACCACACGCCACTGATTTTTTGGTGCTCAATTGATGAATCCAGACTTCCTATTCTTGATGAATTCAGGCTTCCTATTTGCCTTTATCAATTATTATTGTTGGTGTTGGCGGTGAAAATTTTGAAAATATGCGAAAATTGGATTCCGACAACGAATTATTGCAACAACTAGGCAGAACTGCACAGCGAGATATCGTACAGGTAATGTCCATCAATCCGTACTAACTTTTGCCTAGCGAATGAGGGCATTTGCTCAAAGTTTTAAAGTTTGCCACTTTATCGATAAGCACATGGATATAGGATCAGTCGGATTTTATAATCTCGTTTCCTGGCTATGCAGCTGACAACTTCTCCGATTGCTTCGACCAAGCTGTATCACCTGGTCATTGGCATTCTTGCAGTGCTGACAAATTTCTCGTCTTTTGAAACGGTTACCAGACCATGTTTGCGGCCATGTCCCGATGAGTCAGGCTGTACCGTATTTTAGTAGTTTGCGGACCACCCCGTTTTCAAGCTTTACAGCTACGAGATCTGTTTGTCAGTTCGGCTAATCTTACACTCGCCACTAACGCAGGCTGTACTAATGATTCCCACTCCTACCTGCATGCATTGTTCGGTCTGTATATACAGCTAAGGGATGAAACACAGAATGCGCCATAAAATGTCTTCATACACATGACATTCAAGTGAAATCCTTCTATTCTTCTATTTCTTTCAACACTAGCAACTGATAGGGCATTACTCGTTTAGAGACTTCCTTGATAGTACTGCATCTCGATTACTGCTACTCATGCACCATGATGTGTGGTGCCCTACCCATTAAGAGCTTACTTGCTTATCAAAAAATAAGCATTGCATGAACTGAGAAATTCAAGAAACTAAGAAACTGTTTAGTTCGTATCATTACGGGAATTTCTAAACACAAAGGGAATTCGTTCACCGATCCAGCAGAGCAGTTCCGCGATGGCACATCTGGCAAAAGAAGTTCTTGCTGAAGTACCACGCCAACTCACTTCATATATGAAATGGAACGGCATAAATCCGCGTCCTGCTTCCGATCCGTTTCCGGTAGAACCACTTCCGGAAACAGATGGTTAGTCACTGGCTGAAAGTCTCAAACAAATAAATTCTCTCTTCTGTATCCCCCAAAAATGTGCTGAGCACCAATCTCTTCAGTTGCGGCTCCGATATTTTCGAGGATTTATACCTTCATTTGATCAGCTGTTGTTTCATTGTCGCGTTCCTTCTCGTCACTGATGTAATTGGCAAATTCTCCACTTCCCTCTGTGCTGAGCCTTCATTATTCTGACTCAAAATATGCAAAAACTACAATTGAAAGGTCACAGAAGTTGCTAAGCCAATGCACTAACTCGAATGTGCGGGATGTTAAGAATGCGGAGAACCTAAAACCGAATTTCGTGACACAATTGTACCTCACGAGATGTAGCATTGGTCAAGAAAAAACTGGGGGGATTTTTTTTGCGTAAGTATTTTTTCCACAAAATCGCTCTTATGGCGATTTTGTAAAGAAAAAAAAAACAGGAGGAAAAATACATTTCTCTTTATTCTGTAAAAAGCTAAAAAATAAAACTTTATCTTATTCTTCTAAGTGTTTTTTTTTTTTTGATAAAATCGCTCTTATGGCGATTTTGTAAAAAAAAAACTTCGCAAAAAAACCTTCCCCATTTTGTAAGAAAAAAATTTAGAAAAAATTCGTTTCTTTTTATTCTATAAAAAGCTAAAAAGTAAAAAATTCATTTTACTCGATATTCTTCCCATAGCTACTCGGATCATTTTACTAGAGAATCGTTGTAATCTGCGCAATAATTGATGATTTTTGCAGTATATGCGGTTGGTCGACGATTGTCCAGTGCATGTGCCGTACGTCCAGCTGCTGCTGCTACTTACGGATTTCTACCGAATATCGCCGCATCAGCACCAGGAACCCCGTCGCATCTTCTACGCTATCAACAGCGGCATCAGTCAATTCCGTTGCAAATGCCTTCTTCTTCTATCGGTGACACTGCCTGGATGGCATCAACCAGTGGAATCTATCCGAATCCGTACCTTTACGATGTTGTATCATCATCCGTCCAGCAAACCCCAGTCCCAGCGGCGCATTCGTCTGTCAGACCCGTACAAAGCGCACCCTATCCAACAGGCCCTCCACCGGAATTCCACGGAACGCTTCCTTTTCCTGAAATGGCATATCCAATAGTCGGTACGAGAATTGATCTGGCTAGTGCTAATCCACCTGAAAGTGGTTTTAGGCCATCCACGCAACCTAGCGCACCACCTGGGCCCTAGCACTGGGAACTACTCCATGCGCTTCCTCCAGAAAACTGCAGGCATTCCATCTTATATAGTATGACGGGGCACAGCACTTTTCTCCTAATTCTTCCAATATTTATTTATAAGTTTTTTTTGGTGTGAAATACAATATTTTGTGCGATTTGATGGTGACACGAAAGACAATGAGATCACTGCACCACCAGCCCTTGTGCTTCACACCCACTACTCTTCATCTGTGTATTACCGAATACATATCGAGGAAAGAGTCCCTTTTTGAAAATGGTTAAGGACCGGGAATGAATAAAAATACTTGTCATACCAGAATGTGACGTCCTAGACCACTGCACTACCGGCCCTTGTGCTTCAAACCTACTGGAACACTTGTATCTTGTATTATCGTGACCTTAAAGGTTGTGGGTTAGACTAATGTGCGTGCCCTGCGTGTGTGTATGAGTGTATATGTATAGCTAGCACCTCGTTATGAATATATTTATAATTATATACAACAAAGTGCAGTTACACGAAGTAAACTGAAACAGGAGAAGAGAAATAAAAAAAAAAAGTGGCAAGGCTCTGGGGGAGCCGAAGCTCACCAGAACAGGGTTGTTTGAGGAACAAAAACACTAGATGCTGGAGATGGGGAGAAGTGCTTTTATATCCGAGTGACCACAGATCAAACAGATTACATAATTCCAGAACGGACAGGATCCAAAAACTGAACTGAGGGCCAGGAGTGTTGCATCACAATGATGAAACTGCTCTTCACGAAATTTTAACAAAATAGTAATAAATCATTATGTGATAGTATTTCTGACATCCCTGTACCATACTCTGCACTGTCTAGCTACTGTACTTTAAGCAGCACATCCTTTTAACAGCTGCCGGCTTCTTGTGGAACTTCTACGACATTTTCGTCACAAAGATACCGCAAATTTCAATGCACACGAAGGGCCTCGCCGCGGACTTGTTTTTTCGGCTTGTTTTGCCGTTCTCGGTTGATGCATCAAAAAACCTTTTGTACGTCGTTTCATGGTACAAAAATCCACAACAAATTTTCTTGAGAACGAATTGGCTCGGATTCTGCTTGTTAATTACTTATTACATTATAATCTTTCAAGCAAAACGATGTCAAAAAAAGGAAATTTTCAACAGCACAAGGCAATTTTAACCATAAAGCTGATTTTGGATCCTCATATAACTGCGTCTTTTGATCACGTTTTGCCGCCAATTTACAACAGTGTAGCTTACAAACGATAACACGGAACAAAATAACGTAAAGAGAGTGAAATGTAAAGTTTCCCGATTTCCTTTATCCAAACATGGTCGCAAACCAATTAGTCCACTTTTTGTACAGTTCAATTTATCGTAAAATCCAGTTTTTTCGCAGTAACCTGAAAAGAAACAAATTTTTTACTATTTTTATAAATCCTGGATGTTTGGGTACCATCTTTGAAGTGATTTTTTGGAATTTTTAC